GTAGAAGGGAGCAGTTGAGAGCCACTGAACATTGTCTCTGGAGCCAGCAGAAAAACAAGGGCACTTAGTTTCCCCCATAAGCCAGGGTACATAGGAGAGAGACGCTTAAGCATCATTCTTGTTCTAATGCTGAGGGTTTCAAAAAAAATTTTTTTTTAATTTGAATGTACCCATCCACCAGAAACTTTCCTGGTAAGTCGACAACAATCTTAAAAAGGCTCCCTAATACACAGGAAAGAAGCAAACAGGGCCTTCTGAGCAAGGGGCAGTGGTCAGAGGCAGTGAGATGGGGATTGTCAGCTAGGGGAGGGGGTCGCGGAGAAAGGCAGTGCCAGAAGAAAAACCATTCCGAGGACCCTGTGGTTGGCCCTGCCTCGCCTCCCCATCCCCCCACCCCCACCAGAGGGAGGCCCCACCTCACCTTCACCATCCCAGCGTCAGGCCTTGGGGCTCTAGAAACTGCCCCGTCTTTACAGAACAAACTCGAATCTGGTGTGGAAGGCAAGGAGGTTAAAATTTCAGTCCACTCTATCGCAGTAACCGCTGACAAAGCCATCTAAGTACCAGCAAGGTGAACAGAAGTGGGGTGTGGTGGCCGGATAAAAAGGAAGGGAAAAACAAAAACAAAAACATAGTCTGCAAGGAGTCTTACTAAAAAAATAATATTACTCCTAGATTAGTAGAAAATCGTTTCCAATAGCCTTATATCCTACGACTTGGTAAAAATACGAATTCAGTAAAATGAACTCAAAGGTTAGAATATTTTAAAATGTGATGGAGACGGAGTTGCGAACTTAAGCAGATAATTTGAGCACCCTGGACACATAATTGCAGAAGAAATAAGAAGGAAGAACAGGATACTTTTGAAAATAAAGACATTTTTAATAGAGGAAAGGTTTGATTTAAGCCCAATGAATGCAAATGAAAAGGGAAAAAAAAGATCAAGTCAATTAGGAAGAATCTCCATGTGGAAATTAAAAAAAAGCACAGTCAAAATTAGGATAATTGGGATCCCTGCCACACAGAAACCAGCAAATGCGACAGAAGATGCAAATAAAAGTAAGATAAAAGAACTTTTCTTGAAATGAAGAAAAAAAATGGCCTGTAGGTCAAAAGAACATTTTTTCAGGAAATTGTCATTTTCCAAATATTCCTACGGGAATGCTGAGCCCCAAGATACCTTTAGTGATTTCAATTTTTTTTTTTAAAAAAAGAAGAATTCTTTTAGGAATCCAGGAAGAAAAAGTAAATAAAAGAAGGTCAAGCCAAATCAAGCTGGCCTCAGACGTTCTAGTGCTAAATTCCAGAATATGATGGTTCTGAGAGAAATATTCTAAATGGAGGACACTGTCCCCAGGAGGGTATTTTCGTCCAGCTTAGATGTCACTCAAGGTAATCAATAGGCAGGCCTTCTCAAATATAAAAGAGCAAAGGGAATTCAAGACCCAGTGAGCTCTCTTTGGGGGAGGGAGGGACTACTGGATTAGAAAAATCCTGGGGCGCCTGGGTGGCGCAGTCGGTTAAGCGTCCGACTTCAGCCAGGTCACGATCTCGCGGTCCGTGAGTTCGAGCCCCGCATCAGGCTCTGGGCTGATGGCTCAGACCCTGGAGCCTGTTTCCGATTCTGTGTCTCCCTCTCTCTCTGCCCCTCCCCCGTTCATGCTCTGTCTCTCTCTGTCCCAAAAATAAATAAACGTTGAAAAAAAAAAAATTTAAAAGAAAAATCCAGCAAATAACAAGTTAAGAAATAAATCAGACTAAAGACCCCAGACGTAGAGAACTCACGCTCAAAAGGACTGTTGATGAGTATTGATCTAAATGTAGAATTAATCCCAGACATGTTTGGAAATTGTAGGTAGAAAAAAATGTGATCATTATATAAATCTAGACACAAAAAACAATAAAGCGAAAAAGTAATAACAATAGGAATAAGGAAATAGGGGAGGCAGATGGGAGGAAAGAGGAGAGTAGCCACATTCTCATCTTTGAAAGCACAGATCAATAAATACGGTTTAATAGTAAACGGTGCTGGGGGCGCCTGGGTGACTCAGTTAAGCATCTGACTTCAGCACAGGTCATGATCTCACGGTTTGTGAGTTCAAGCCCCACGTCACGCTCTGTGCTGACAGCTCAGAGCCTGGAGCCTGCTTTGGATTCTGTGTCTTCTCTCTCTGCCCTTGCCTGCTCACGCTCTGTCTCTCTCAAAAATAAATAAGGATTTTTGATTTTTTTTCTTTTTTTGTTTTTTTTTTCTTTTTTTTTTTTAATGTTTTTTTATTTATTTTTGAGACAGAGAGAGAGACAGAGTATGAGCAGGGGAGGGGCAAAGAGAGAGGAAGACACAGAATCTGAAGAAGGCTCCAGGCTCTGAGCTGTCAGCACAGAGCCCGATGCGGGGCTCGAACTCATGGACTGTGAGATCATGACCTGAGCTGAAGTCGGACACCCAACCGACTGAGCCACCCAGGCGCCCCAATAAGGATTTTTTAAAAGTAAACATAGTAAGCAGTGCTGGCAACATAGGATATCCTAACTTCCCAATGTCTTCCGTAACCGTTTTTTCTAAACCTTAGAAGAATATTTTAGGAAATTACTCTGTCTTACAGAAGAAAATAATTTAAATTTCAACCATCCCTTCGGTCTTTCCTTCAGTTTTGTTCCAAGTACAATTAAATTTAGACAGAAGTGTGTGTGTGTGTGTGTGTGTGTGTGCGCGCGTGTGTGCGCGCCCACACACGCACATGCGTATAGAAAGATGTCTGGGATTATGTTCACCTAAAGTTAATGATGGAAACATCTGGATGCTGGAATTTGTACTTTCATACATTATTTTTAATGTTTCTTAATGAGCACAGAAAAGAAATTTTACAGAAACAAGAGAGACATTTGAAAAATAAACTGGAAACCAACATGCCAAGATGCTACCAGTGGTTGATGCTGGGTGGTGGAAATAAGGGTGATTGTTACTTTCTTCTTTGTGCTTTTTTGGGGTTTTTTCCCCCTAATTTCCAGGAAAAAATTATGTAATTGTGTTTGCATAGTATTTCTGAATTCAGTTCATTCATGACTCCCTGACGACCAATGATATACCAGGCGTCAGGCCAGATAGAAGAAAAGACCGTTATGTTCTCCCCCGGGAGACTGAGGCAGCAAGTTCCGTGAGAGCTGTCTGTCTGTCTGTCTCTGCCTAGGAGGAGCTGGAATTCAGAGAAGGGGCCCTGGACATCAGCAGTGTTTGTTGACATGCCAGAGGCAAGGGTTGCTCTGGGCCAGCCGCACCCAGAGCTGGTTTGCAGGGGACACTGATTTCCAGGGAAACCTAGAAAGGCTGATGACAGCCTTGAATTCAACCTGCGACACTTGCTTGATGCCTTGTTAGGTGACAGTGAGCTACAGACGGGGCTGGCCACAGAATTTGCAGGGGCCAGAGCAAAATAAAAATGCAGGGCCCACGTGTTTAAAAAGCAAGAAGGCATCACTGAAGGCATTAAAATACAAAGCTTTTTCTTTTCTTCCACCTTCTCTGTCTCTCCACTGGTCACTTTGGTATTTGCCATTTAAATGTCGTCCTGAGTAAAAAAATAAATAAAATTTGAAATTATCAGCAGGAGCTTCAACCTTTCTGCTTTATACGGTGCAAACGCACAGATCTAAATGCAAATGTAAGCGCATTTAGTTCATGTGGGAGTCACCGCACTACACAATTGGCATCTCAAGCACATTTTGAGAGGGTACCTCGAACTAGCCAGGAGAAGCAAACTCAAGCCAGACGAGGGAGGGTGGCAAGGAGAAGAGAGGTCCCCCCCAGGCACACAGCCCAAGAAGCATTCCCTGGGTTACTGTCAGGGCCAGTGAGGCTCCCTGCAGGTGCCCGATGCCACTCTGCCCCTTGTGACTCTGGGCACACATGCACTTGGGCCTGAAGGTTGCCAGGATCGCTCTCTGCTACCCGCCCTGCACTCCATCCTGGGGTGGGCTCTGGGAAGTCCAGCCCTGAATCTCTCCTTCCCAAGGACCTGCTATCTCAACCCATAGCTCACTGGCAATGCCCAAAGGTCTTTAAACCTCTGCCCCTGGACATGCTAGGTACCTGATCAAGGCTGACCTAGATGCTTACCACCCCTAGTCCAGCTAGTCGCCCCCTCCCCCACCCTGGGCAAAGCAGGGCCCTGCCAGCCTGGCGCAGGAGCAAATTCCACTCTGCCTGGCCCCTTCTCTGTCTGCTTACACACCAGGAGGGCGTCAGTGCAACGTGGGACTTTCCAACAATGTGACCCAGCTGCCACCCCACACGAAGGGCATCAATGGTGCCCAGCGTCCAAGGCGGCGGGGGGCGGGGGGTGAGACCAAGCATGAGCTGAGACTACGAACTCACCATGTGTCCAATGGCCCATCAGACTTCACTACCAAAACATAAGTTCAACGGTACCATTATTAAGAATTTCAAGGCAGCCATTGGAGACCAGTAAACCAAGGGTGGACCCTTTTTCGTGTAGGACCTGGGCACAGAGATGGGGGAAGAGCAAAGCCAGCCCTTCCTAATGGCAACAGCTTTGCTCTAGAAAGCTGATTTGTAGTCAGGGAGAGGTTTAAGGCACCTCATTAACAACCCCAGACAGGATGCCAAGACAGGAAATGAGATTTTCCAAGCAAGCAGGAAATCTAGTTACTAGTCATTGGGTTGGAAGTAGAGTATGGGTCATCAGGAATAAAGGGGAGGCGACATCCCCTGGCCCACAGGGGGTGAGGACTTCTAATTGTGTAATTGTGTGTGTGTGTGTGTGTGTGTGTGTGTGTGTGTGTGTGTCTCAGCCATTGAATAAACCCGAATGTTCCACAGATGTAGAACAAAGGTGAAGACATACTGTCAGGCAAAGACAGAGGGTTGAGAAGCCGCAGGGCAGATGTTCAACTGTAAGGGATTCCCGTCCCCCCCCCCCCCCCCACCCCCCTGTGGCATTCTACACTCTAGCTGCGGCCAGCTTCTAGGGAGTATCCACAGCTCTGCAGCACTCCTTCGGGGAGTAATGGTGGGAGATGACGTCATGTGTCTCAAAGATCCCTGTAGACACTCTAAATGGGTGCAGTCTTGTGGGACAGGTTGTAAGCAGAGGAGCCTAGATAGCTCATGGGTGGGGGAGTCTGCAGCAGGGAAGGCATCTTTGACTTGGAATCTCTCGGATTCCTGTAGAATACCCGGATGGGACCTGTTACCTCATAGTCGAAGGACTTTTTCATGTTTTGAGCTTGAACTCAGGTCTGCCGCCCTGTGGCCCTTTTCCAGTTTCAGCGCGGGGGCTTGATGCCTGCTACAAGTGTTGGGAGGACAGGACACCCAGAACCTATGGGGCGCAGTTGCTTGGATGGAGACAAAAGCCCTGAGGCAGAGAAGGCAACTAGGACTCACAATGCGGATGCCAAGAAACAAAATACCTTTAAATCTGAAAACAGACAACTCAGAAACGAATGCATGAAACTAATGAGTGAACTTGGGATTCTGTGTCTTCCTCTCCCTCTGCCCCTCCCCTGCTTGCACCCCGTCTTTCTCTCTCTCTCAAAAGTAAACATTAAAAAATTTAAAATAAAATAAAATAAAATGGAACACCTAGGAGCGCCTGGGTGGCTCAGTCAGTTAGGCATCCGACTCTTGGTTTTGGCTCAGGTCGTGATCTCAACTGTTTGTGAGTTTGAGCCCCCCATCAGGCTTCATGCTGACAGCATGGAACCTGCTTGGGGTTCTCTCTCCTCTCTCTGCCCCTCTCCCCGCTAGCTCTCTCTGTCTGACATCTCAGAGCCTGGAGCCTGCCTCAGACTCTGTCTCCCTCTCTCTCTGCCTCCCCCCCTGCCCCTCCCTCCCGCGCACGCTCTGTTTCTCCCTCTTCTCTCTCTCTCTCAAAAATAAAACATTTTTAAATTTTTTTTTTCAACGTTTATTTATTTTTGGGACAGAGAGAGACAGAGCATGAACGGGGGAGGGGCAGAGAGAGAGGGAGACACAGAATCGGAAGCAGGCTCCAGGCTCCGAGCCATCAGCCCAGAGCCCGACGCGGGGCTCGAACTCCCGGACCGCGAGATCGTGACCTGGCTGAAGTCGGACGCTTAACCGACTGCGCCACCCAGGCGCCCCAAAATAAAACATTTTTAAACAAGAAGGAGAAATAACATATATTTGGTTTTGCTTATACATAAAGATGTTGTGAAGGACTCACCAAAAAATTAATAGAAGTAGTTTTCTGAAGGGATCAAGACCTTTTGCTCTTTGCTTTTGTGTATTTTTGGAAGCGAGTAACTCTGTCGCCTGTTCAAAAATTAAATTTAAAACTTCTCCCAGAGCTAGATAGGGAACTGGTCCCAGGGCCAGCTCCTGGGAAGGCAGAGGAAGCCTGGAACAGGAAAATTCCTGTTCCTCCCACGTTGTCCTGTCTTTGTCCTTTTTTATCTTTTGTAATTTAAGTAAACACTTCAGCATTTGGATCACCTGATATCTATTTCCTTTCAGATGTGAAAGTAAAGACAAGACTTGATACCAAAGATGCTTTGGAGCCAGAATACTCCCTGGATTAGACCCCATGATTTGTATCCCGTGGGTAAGCGTCACTTTTGTCCCAGTGCTCCTAGGACCAAGCCAGCAGTCACCCCACCACCCAGAGCCCTGTTGGGGGTAGCAAACGGCTTTCCCTGATGAGGGGGCCCAGTATCAGCCCATCCGGTGCCAAGAGCCAAATGGAACGTAGATAGGAAGCCTGTGCTGATTGATGGTCTGGATTCAGTAGGAGCACCTGCCCTACTATTAATCTTAGGAAAACAAACACCTAAATAAGAATGACTTCAGGCTCCACAGTGATGGAGAATATCCTCGTGAGGAACCCTAAGAGCAATTTCTCTTAATACCCTCATTCTAATCCAGGGAGGAGTTTATCACTCGACTCCCATACTTAGGAGGAGGCCAAACCCCTTATCTCCTAACCATGTCACCAGACTGAGAAGTCATTCCTGAACTTTGGCTTCCGTGTATCTATCATTGATTTTTTTTTTTCTCACTCTGTCATCCTGGTCCACTTTTTCTCTACCTTTCTTTTGATTCTATTTCGCTATCACCGTGTCGTCTGTTCCATAGCTCATAAGTAGGGGATCCATGGGCGGTATACTTCTCCCCTGAGCACACCGCCCAGGCACGGGGGCGTGTAACCTCCTTGGCCTCCGCGTCCTAAAAATGCCTGCAACCCCTCCCCTCCCAAGTCACTGTGTCATCCCGAAAACAAATGAGGGCCCCCAAATCCCATCAGTTTTCTTCCTACACCTCCTACACCACCCTTGGCAAACACCTTTACCTTTAACGTTTCTTAACCAACAACATGCCTGTGTATTCATATTCTGAGACTTTTTCCAGGCAGGTAAATGCTTCTCGGGACATTCTCTCAACCAACCAGCCCTGGTATTAGCATCAGCTCCCAAACAGAGCTTATTTTGGATTCACTCAGGTTGAAAGCCTTGGGCCATGTGCTGCTGATACCCTCAGTGACCTTCTAAGAACCCTTTACTGGAGCTTTTTTTTTTTTTTTTAACACATGGATGTCGCAATCCAACATTGATTAAGCCATGTGTACAAAAGAATGCCAGACCCAGAGCAATAATTACAAATTGAACCTGGAGAGAGTATTTTTGCTGGTCTAATATTTTTTTCTTCTTCCTAGTGTATATCGGCCTCATGGTTGGTGTGGTATCGGCATGGCCTGGTAAGAAATTTTCTTGGCTTGGCTGAATTTCGTGTAAGGGACAGAGGATTGGGGTGACCATTCAGAAGTCTAAAATGCGGGGAGCTTGATTTCTGATCCCAGATCTGTTGCCCATTTTTGTCTGAATCCTTTTTCACAGATTTTCTCAATTTCTCTCCTTTTCTCTGTCAAAGGAGCCAACAGTAGCCACATTTTCTCATTTGTCTCTCAAAACTCTTATAAGAAATTAACACCAGAGGCGCCTGGGTGGCGCAGTCGGTTGAGCGTCCGACTTCAGCCAGATCACGATCTCGCAGTCCGTGAGTTCGAGCCCCGCGTCAGGCTCTGGGCTGATGGCTCAGAGCCTGGAGCCTGTTTCCGATTCTGTGTCTCCCTATCTCTCTGTCCCTCCCCCGTTCATGCTCTGTCTCTCTCTGTCCCCCAAAAAATAAATAAACGTTGAAAAAAAAATTAAAAAAAAAAAAAGAAAGAAATTAACACCAGAGATCATTTTATTTATTTTTTTTAATGTTTGTTTATTTACGTTCAGTGGAAGAGAGAGTGCCTGTGAGCAGGGGAGGGGCAGAAAGAGAGGAAGAGAAAGAGAATCCCAAGCAGACTCCACCCTGTCAGCACAGAACCCCACTCAGGGCTCAAACCCACGAACCGCGAGATCACCACCCAGGGGACCGTGACCTGCAAGGTCACAACCTGAGCCGACATCAAGAGTCAGACCGGTAACCGACTGAGCCACCCACGTGCCCCACACCAGAGATCATTTTAAAACTCCTTAAAAGAATTTTCAGGGGTGCCTGGCTGGCTCAGTCGGCAGAGCGTGTGACTCTGGATCTCAGGGTTGTGAGTTCGAGCTCCATGTTGGGTGTGTAGATTACTTAAGAATAAAATCTTTAATAAAATCTTTAAAAACATTTTTAAAGGAATTTTCAACTTAAAGCCCCTTCACCAAAGATTGAGGAGACAGACTATGCCAAACAAAAAACAACCCGGACATAATTTCCCTTTAATTTGCATTCTTACACCTGTTATCTGGTGCCAGGTAAAGGAAAATAATTTTTCTGAACTAAACACCTTGCCTACATATAGAAATCCGCCCCCCATAATCTCACTGTGCATTAACTATATATCCAACCTTGTGATGAGCACAGAGGACGAAGAGTTCGAAGTCAAGAAGCAAAGGCCCTAGGTCCTAACTACTGGAAGCTTCGAGAATCATAAGAAGTGAATTTGGAGGGGCGCCTGGGTGGCTCAGTCGGTTAAGCGTCCGACTTCAGCCAGGTCACGATCTCACAGTCCGTGGGTTCGAGCCCCGCGTCGGGCTCTGGGCTGATGGCTCAGAGCCTGGAGCCTGTTTCCGATTCTGTGTCTCCCTCTCTCTCTGCCCCTCCCCCATTCATGCTCTGTCTCTCTCTGTCTCAAAAATAAATAAACGTTTAAAAAAAAAAAAAAAAAACAACATGTTAATTATTGGAAAAAAAAAAAAAAAGACTTGCATTTAAACAGGATTTGACAACTATAGCTTTTTTTTTTTTTAATGTTTTTATTTATTTTTGAGAGGGAGAGAGAACAAGCAGGAGTGGGGACGGGAGAGCGGGGGAGGGGGACAGAGAATCCAAAGCAGGTACTGACAGCAGAGAGCCCAATATGGGGCTCGAATTCACACACTGTGAGATCTTGACCTGAGCCAAAGTTGGACACTTAACCCGACTGAGCCACCCAGGTGCCCGACAGGTATAGCTTCAGAGTGTCATTTACCGCTGCCTCTTGCCAGCTGCATAATATTGTATAACCCAACTCTCAGCCTTACAGTTTGTAGAATGAGTCTCTTAATAGCACCCGCTTCAGCATTGCTGCCCAGACTCAATGCCTGGAAAGGGCCAGTCTAGGCATACATTTATCTGTCCCTTCCTTCCATGACTGGGGGATAAGTGCGGTGGGAGATTCAGTGGAGGGAAGGCAGGCAGAGGGCTGAGCGAGCTGCTTAGGGGACTCCAGAAAGAGGTGGAGTGGAGTTGAGAGAATGAGGTGGCCCAGGACAGGATAACATAGATCATTTTGATTCAGCGGGCCACTGAGAGTCCATGATAATTAAGCGTGAGCCGAAATTCTGATTACACAGTGCCGAGTTCCTGCATCCTAAGTTTGCCTGCCCTAACAATGTGTTGTTCATCAATTAGTTATATGACTTCATTTTTCATGTCCACCAGAACCATTTCCTTCCTGTGGTTCCAAGGCCCCTGGGGCTTCTGTGCTGGGAGTGTGGGCTCCAAATCCCAAGGAACAGATGGGATAGGAGCCAAGCTATACCTTGAGTTCCAGATTCAGCGTTTCTTTTTCTTTTTTTTTTTTTTTTTTCCTCCTGTTTCCTTTAGATTTGTCAGACGAATCTTGCACTTTAAAGGTGACATTTCGCAGCTTCCGGCTTATCTTGTCATGGGAATTAAAAAACCATTCGATTGCACCAACTCACTATACGTTATGGTACACAGTCATGAGGTTGGTTTGACGCTTAATTTTCTTCTTGGTAAAGGTCTTTCTACTAATTGGGGGGTGGGGAAGAGTCGTCATCTTACTTGTGATAAAGCCTCTCTCTCCTCCTCTCTCTGGTTTGTATTCAGAGCTTTAAAAGTCCAAAGACAAGACACAAGTCCATTTTTAATTAAGCTGAATAATGTCATATTCCAAAACCACTTCTAACAAAACTTGTATTTATAACCATTTCTACAGGTCAAAGCCTCAGACGCACAATAATTACGGCGTATGGTTTTTATAATTATTTCTCTGACTCAGTAAGTCTGAATGTTTAAAAGCACTGTTTTCTGAGGACAGGAGTCCAAAGATCTGGTGACCATATCGATGCCGTGTTCACTTTTCTTTACTCGGTGGGGGCGGGGGGGTGAGGGGGGTGGGGTGGGTGGTGGCACATCAGAGAGCTGCCTGGCCCAGACCAGGTCCACGGTCTGGCTTAATCACTAATCAGCCCTGACCTTCAGGCACAGAGCTCGGCTTCTCTGAGCTCAGTATCCTACTTACAGTTGCCGCAGAGATTAATGCCATAATGGAGAGAGCCTTCTATGGCTCTCTTTTTCCGACGTCTGACATCACCCTTATAGGTTGTCACTTTGATCTAGTAGCTTCGTTCTTTTGTTTGCTGTTTATCTGGCTAACAGCTGTTACTACCACTGACTGGCCCATGGAAGGCCTCTTGTGAGTTTCTCTGGTGCCTGCCAAAGTCTTAGTTTCTCTCTGCGTTAGGTGGTCACGTGTATCACCTACTTACCTTTCTGAGGCTCAAGACATCAGACATCTGTGTTGTCCCTATAGAACAGGCTGATTTAGGCCTGGACCATGTGATCTTCAGCTGGAGAGAGAATGTGTCTCAGGGAGGACACTCCTGATGGTCTTGTAGGGGCAAAGAGATCTGGGACTTCTGTCATGAAAGTGTAATGTTTGCTCATTTATTCACCCGGCAAATATTTACTGAGCACCGACTACATGGCCAGGGGACCAACCATGAACCAAAGCCCTTGGTCTCCTGGAGCCTAGAGCAGACATTCGGAAAGTAGACAGAAATACCAAAAAAACAAATAAAGATATAATGTGGTAGGTGATGGTAAATGGAATGCAGGAACATGAAGACAAGCGAGAGAGGGGGTGGACATGATGGGGTAAGGTGTTCCTTTTTTTTTTTTAAGCTTATTTATTTATTTTGAGAGAGCGAGTGGCACAAGCAGGGGAAAAACAAAGAGAGAGAGAGAGAGAGAGAGAGAGAGAGAGAGAGAGAATCCCAAGCAGTCTCTGTGCTGTCAGTGCAGAGCCTGATGCGGGACTTGAACTCATGAACTGTGAGATCATTACCTGAGCTGAAACCAAGAGTCAGATACTCAACTGACTGAGCCACCCAGGCGCCCCTAGGTGTTCCATTTTATTTTATATATAGATTTTTTTTTATTTTAATTTTTTTAATGTTTATCTTGGAGAGAGAGAGAGAGAGAGAGAGGGAGAAAGACAGAGTACAAGCAGGGGAGGGGCAGAGGGAGAGGAAGACACAGAGTCTGAAGCAGGCTCCAGGCCCTGAGCTGTCAGCACAGAGCCTGACGCAGGGCTCGAACCCATGAACCCGGGAGATCATGACCTGAGGGGAAGGCGGATGCTTAACCGACTGAACTACCCAGGCATCTTCCAAGGTGTTGCATTTTAAATAAGGTGGTTAGGGCAGGCGACCTGATACGGTGATGCTTGAGCAGAGACGTAAAGAAATGAGGAAGTGAGGCATGCAGTTAACGGAATCTCCATCACATAAATACTAAAGTTTGCCTTTTCTCATGTCTTTTCCTTTCAAAGTAAACCAGACGATATGAAGATTGTGGAGCACTGTTCAAATATCACAGCATCATTTTGCGACCTAACCGATGTGTGGGAAGTCCTGCCAGAGACCTACATCCCCAGAGTTGATGGATTCAGGGGAAACACAATGCTGGTCAGCTGTATCAGCGATTTCTTCCTGGCAACACACGGTGAGTTCATCTCTGCTTATCATTTTCATCATCATCATCAAGATCATCGTTATTTGCTTTCCCGTGACACAGGCAGGTCTGCAGAGGTGTCTGAAACTCAGGGCTATGTTTACCAGCTGGCCTTGCCCCTTCGCGGCTCTGGACCTGTGAAGTGTTTGCTTCTCGGAGCCTTGGTTTTCTTATCCAAAAAGTGGGACGATAATCTGTCCTTTGCCGGCGATTCCTCACTGCCTGTCTAAGACAGGCGTCCCGGCAGCAATGGTTGGTTTGTTCCGGTTCATTTCCTGTCACAACCTGACAGGAAGTAGGTCGGGAGGTCCAGAAGGCCTGTATCTGAGCTGTCCCAACTCTTTGGGCCAAAGTTTTCCTTAATACGGTACCCCCTCCTGCAGATCATAAGCCAATAGTTCTTATCTATGTTAGTTCCCAAAACACATGTGCACCCGGGGCACTCGGAGACCGGAGCCCGAGAGTGGGTCTGCCTGTCTTTCTTTCCCTATGACTGGAGGCAGCTCCCTGTGGCACTTGTGTTAAACAGCTCCAGGGTGGCTGCTGGTGGCCCTCGGCCAGACTCTAGCTCTTCTTCGAGGTCCTCATTTGCAACCTGTTTCCAAGAGAAAGATTTGGTTTCAGCTCCCTGTTAAAGGCTGTGTGGATGTGCGTTCACACATTCGTGCTTAGCAAAGTGACAATAACCGAATCCCACTGTCGCAGACAAGATTCCCTGGGTTTGTGTGTGTGTGTATGTTTATGTGTGCGTCCAGAAAAGAAAAGAAAGAAAAGCACAACTTCTAGATCGTGGCGCTCAGACAATTACAGAAGGTACATTACAGTAAGGATGAGACGTCATTTGTCAAGACTCAAAATGGTAAATGTCAAACACATGTAAGTACCCAGGCTTAGGGGAAATGCGGAGAGTGTACTTTGAACATCTGAAAATCTGCAGCAGGATGTATTCAAATCTTGCCGTGTCCCTGCTCTCATCCAGAATTCCTCTTTAATGGTTTGTCCTACAGAAATAATTGTGGACAAATGTAATGATTTAGCTCTAAGAATGCTCATTGACACAGTGGGTCTATTCAGAAAATGTAGAGACAATCTAAATATTCAAAGCAACAGATCGGGGTGCCTGGGTGGCTCAGTCGGTTAAGCGGCCGACTTCGGCTCAGGTCATGATCTCCTGGTCCGTGATTCAAGCCCCGCGTCCAGCTCTGTGCTGACAGCTCAGAGCCTGGAGCCTGTTTCAGATTCTGTGTCTCCCTCTCTCTGACCCTCCCCCGTTCATGCTCTGTCTCTCTCTGTCTCAAAAATCAATAAACGTTAAAAAAAAAAATTAAAGCAACAGATCAGTTAAATTGTAGTGCAGCCAGACGCTTAGTGGAATAGAGTCACCCCTAAAAAGTTAACGATGAAGATCCAGGGTCAGCCAACTTTCTGTAAAGGCCAGAAAAGAAATACTTTAGACTTTATGGGCCACATATCATACACAATATCACCTGTCCTTCTTCAGTTGTTTTACAACCCTTTTATTATTTTGTAAGTTTATTTATTTATTTATTGAGAGAGAGAGAGAGAGCAAGCAGCTGATGGGAAGAGAGAAAGGGGGAGAGAGAGAATCCCCAGTAGGCTCTACGCCGTCAGCATGGAGCCCAATGCTGGGGCTCCCAAACTCATGGCTCATGAGATCATGACCTGAGCCAAAATCAAGAGTTAGGCTTAACCAACGAAGCCACCCAGGCGCCCCACAACTCATTAAAATATAAAAACCATTCTGAACTGGCAGGCTGTGCAAAACTCCAGCCCACAGGCCCATTTTCCACCCCTTAATGTAGACAAATATGCATGGATATGTTTGTGAATTAAGTGAAATATATACCATGCAAAGCTATAGGTAAGAATGATTTAATTTTAGATGAGATGTGTGTGTGTGTGTGTGTGTGTGTGTGTGTGTGTGTATGCACTAGTTCAGTTTATATACATGTGTGTATATATTTACACTGATACGATATAGACAAAACACGATTAACCACATTCAGGGACACTTGCCTACTGTATTTTCTGATATTTCTGCAATGGTTGGGTATCATTGTTACTGTGATATGATAAGAAGTCATTTTGTTTAGAATACAGGCTGAAAATTCCGAAAGGACTGACTTCCATCCTGGAACCTTCCGTTTCTTGTGGTAATAGTAAGCAAATCACATCACTTTTAGTCTCAGTTTTTCACCAATAAAAAAAAAAAAAAGAATACAACCCATGCCTCACCTAAGACCGTAGGTTAGAGAGAAGATGGTTGTCAAGAGGTCAGGTTGTATTACAGCCACGGGAGCGTTGCTGCGATGCAGTCATTGGCTGACATCATTGGGGTCTGTTTCTGGTTTCGTTTTCTCCACAGTGTCTTTGGAACCACCGGACTTTGATATTGTTGGCTCTACCAACCACATCAACGTAATAGTGAAATTTCCACCGGTCATTCCCAAGATACTAAATGGCGAGATCTTACAGTATTACTTACCTCTCGTCATCGAAGAACAGTCAGGGAAGATTGTTAAGAAGGTAAGTGGCTAAAACAGTTCTGAGCTGGCAGTGAATATATTTGACCGTCTTCTTAAAAAAAAAAAAAAACAAGGAAAAAGACATTTGTAATGATTTGAGCAATTGAGCCTAAAGGGTCTGAATCCGCGGGGTCTGACTTTAAGCAAAGAAGTCTCTATAGTTCATTCATTGTGGAAATATGTTGACTTAGCCTAGCAGTGTGGTCTTCTTTCAAAGAAGAGGCCACATGCGCAACATCGAGGGGCACACAGGAAAGGAATGTGGTGTGGACAAAGAGAACAGGCTAATTTCAGCACACTGGGGCGAAATTCCAGGGTGCTGGGATGAGTGGAAGTGGGCCCTCCCAGAACAGCAGCTGACATGTGCATAGCCCTTTGCCGATGGGAAACCCTTGCAAGTACCAGCCCACAAGTCACCAGGGGCAGGGGCATGTCAGGAAGAGGGCACAGGAAGCAGAGGTCCTGAGGCTGGAGTGGACCCAGTAGATTTGAGAATCAGGGCAGGGAGCTGGAATGGAGTAACCGGGACAGGAGACTAGAAGGAGGTGAGATCAGGGAGGCAGTGGGGCCCAATCTTGTTGGGCTTTGTGGGTCTGAGGCTTTGAAGTATCATGAAGCTGCTGGAGGTCCGGAGGCTTTAACAGGGCATCCTGGCTGGTGTATTGAGAATAAACCACAGGAGCCAAAGGTGGAGGTTGGGAGACCAGTTAAGAGGCTGTGGAGATGGTAATTGCTTAGTAGGAAATGGCAAATTACAATTTTCGCTGTACTATCTACCTGGATATAATCAACACCCTAATCAAAACAAAATGAAAATAACAGAGGGAAAAAATCAGCTTATGTAGCTCAGAGACTGTACAAAGCTTCTTTAAATATCATAAACCAGTCACATCTCATTGATACTCAACCTGTGAGCTACTAACTCTGTTTGAGATTATTATTTTTAAAATAAGAAAGCTATTAGGATATTGACAACACCAGAAGAGGAAAATGACAGTTAATAAGCATCTTCTTCATTAAAGAAAAGTAATCTTTATTTATTTATTTTTTTAACGTTTATTGATTTTTGAGACCGAGAGAGACAGAGCATGAACACGGGGCTCAAACTCATGGACCGTGAGATCATGACCTGAGCCGAAATCGTAAGCTCAACCGACTGAGCCACCCAGGCGCCCCAAGAAAAGTAATCTTTGGATTAAATTAGACCAAGAAAAAAAGAAGAGACTACTGGTGTAATCCAGGTGACAGATGGTGGCCTGGACCACTTGGCAGTAATGAGAAGTGGTTAAATTCTGCATATATCTTGCAAGTGGAGCTGACAGTATTTTTGGATGGGTTGGATGTGCCATGGGGTGAAGAAAGAGACAAGAGCATCTGGATGGATGGAGTTTCCATTAATTAAAATGGGGAAGATTACAGGGGCACCTGGGTGTCTCGGTTGAGCGTCCAACTTCGACTCCCTCTCCCCCTGCTCCTCCCCCATTCTCTCTCTCTCTCTCTCTCTCTCTCTCTCTCTCTCTCTCTCTCTCTTTCGGTCTCAAAAATAAATTTAAAAAAAATTTAAATGGGGAAGATTACGGATGGAGGAGGTGGATAATTGGGTATCAGTAGCTTGGATCTGGATATATTAAGTTTGAGGTGCCAATAAGGCATCCAGGAGGATATAGTGAGCAGGAGTTGGATGCTCTGAGTCTGGAGTTCAAGAGAGAGCTCCTCGCTGGAGAGACGTCCCGGGGAGTCGTTGGCTTCTTGGTGCATATTGATACCTTGAGACAAGGTGAGATCACCTGGAAGTGGATATGCAGAGAGGAAAGAGGACGTCCAAAGTCAGAGCCCCAGAAGCCCAAAATAGAGAGATCTGGCAAATGAGGAACCAGCAAAAGAGACTAGAGGGGTGCCTGGCTGGCTCAGTCAGTACAGTGTGCAACTCTTGATCTAGGGGTTGTTGTGGGTTCAAGCCCCATGTTGGGTGTGGAGGTTACTTAAATATAAAACCTTAAAAAAGAGAGAAAGAGACTGGGAAGGAGCAACCAGCATGGTAGGAGAACAACTAGGTGAAAATGATGTCCTGGTAGCTGAGAGAAGAAAGTTCCAGAAGGAGAAAGTGATCTACTGAATCAAATGCTATAAATGGGACACGTTAGGTGAGGACTATGGATTGGGTATTGGATTTAGCAACATGGAAGTCCTGGTGACCTTGATAAGAGTGATTTCAGTGGAGTGATGGGGTGAGGACCTGGTAAGAACGGATTCCAGAAAGAGAAGGAAGAAAGAAATTAGAGACAGTGAGGAGAACTAAATCTTCTAAGGAGTTTTTCTGTAAAGAGGAGAGATACTCTGTGGTAGCTATGGGAAGCTGGGGTCAAGAGAGAGGGATTTTATTTTATTTTATTTTATTTTATTTTATTTTTAAGTTTATTTATTTTTGGGGGGGGGGGGAATGAGGGAGGGGCAGAGAGCAGGGGACAGGGAGAATCCCAAGCAGGCTCTGCACTATCAGGACACAAAGCCTGAGTCGGGGCTGGAACATGAACCATGAGATCATGGCCCGAACCAAAAAAATCAAGAGTCAGACATTTCACCAACTGAGTCACCCAGGTGCCCCATAAGAGGGACATTTTAAAATGGAAGAACTTATGGGGTGCCTAGGTGATTCAACTCTTGATTTCAGCTCAGATCATGATCTCACAGTCGTGAGTTCGAACCCTGTATCGGGCCGCATGCTGGGTGTGGAGCCTGCTTAAGATCCTCTCTCTCTCTCTCTCTCTCTCTCTCTCTCTCTCTCTCTCTCTCTCTTTCTCCCTCTCTCTCCCTCTCAAAATAAAATAAAATAAAATAAAATGGAAGAAGTTACAGCATGTTCATATGCAGATGGGATGTTCCAAAGGGATTGCTGGACCATGTGCTTGAGGAAGTGAGGAGGGATGGAATCTCATAAGCACAAGAAGGGATTGACCTTGGTGCAGAGCAGGGACTGTGCATCCAAGGCGAGTGCGGGGGCAGGGGGCAAAATACTCAGGCGAGCTTCTGTTTGCCTGGTGAAACAGGAAGTAAGTATGGCAGACTTCATCAAGATCACACAATGGCAACACCAGGTGTGAAACCCAGATAGTCTGATTCTCAGCTATTTTTGGCTATTTCTCCTGGAGGCAAGAGCCCTCCCTCCATGACACTGTTTCTACTTCTGCCCCCTTTTTCTTCTTCACTGCTTATTGGCACTGCATGAGAGTTTAGTTTGTTAGAGCTCTTTCTTTCTCTCTTTCTTTCTTTCTTTCTTTCTTTCTCTTTCAATTCTTCCTCCTTCCAAATAGAAATTTGCAGAAAAACGTTATTACAGAAGGCCGTATATGAACTGCTGGAAAATCCTGATTCGTAGAACTGTTAGTATTTTGAAAACCATAAAACTTCACGCAGAAGTTGTTTTTCTTTTTTTTTTTTTAATTTTTTTTTAATCTTTATTTATTTTGAGAGAGAGACAGAGTGTGAGCAGGGGAAGAGCTGAGGGGAGGGAGACACAGAATCCGAAGCAGGGCTCCAGGCCCTCAGCTGTCAGCACGGAGCCCGACGCGGGGCTCGAACTCACAAACTGCGAGATCGTGACCTGAGCCGAAGTCGGACGCTCAACCGACTGAGCCACCCAGGTGCCCCGAAGTTGTTTTTCTTGAAAGAAACTTCATATCATCTCTCTAATTCCAAAATGGAACAGAACTACCTAGGAACAGAAGGGGCAAGGTGTCTAAAGGGAGAAGATGAGGAATTAGACATCAGCCACAGTTCTGCCACAGCCATGCTGTGTGGCCTTGGAAAGTTACTTAACCACTCTGAGTGGTAGTTTCCTCATCTGGAGAATGGAGATCATTGCAACTCTGTGGACTGTTTTCATAATCACATTCATTAATATGTATGAAGGCACTTCCTGAAGAGTAGACACATATCATTAATGGAAAAAGATAATCTCATTTTTTTATGTTCTTAGTTTTGCAAGATTATCTTAATGCATGACAAAATAATCTTGTAAAAATGACATCATGGAAACATTTTTTTCTTTTTTTTTCTTTTTTTCATTTTATTTGCCTGAGAGAGAGAGCACAAGTGGGAGAGAGGGGCAGAGGGAGAGAGAGAGAGAGAGAGAGAGAATCTCCAGGAGACTCCATGCTCAGTGTGGATCTCTCAACCCTTTAACCAGCTGAACCACCCAGGTGCCCAAACATCATGGAAACTTTTATTCCTCGTTGAACCTTTTTCTACTCGTTATAAAGTGCAGTTGCTAGACTAGATTTCATGGTTTAAAAATGTGCATCTAGTTTTGTGCTAAATTGCTGGCCCCAAATGACTTAAAAATACTTTTTCTTTTCAAACCTGAGATCTTTCTATCCCCATTTAAGATCTGAGGACAAAACCCCAAGGAGGCTCGAAGGGCCTGCCTGCAAATGAAATTCTCACTCAAAGCCTTCCTGATTTTTTTGCTTCTTTTTTACAGCACCACCCCAAGCTAAATGGAAACATCATCGGAAATGTCACTTATGTCATCGACAAGCTGATTCCAAACACAAACTACTGTGTATCTGTCTATTTTAAGTCTAAAGATACGGGAGCAATAAATAGATCTCCAGTCAAATGTACCTTCCTTCCACCTGGACAGGAAACAGGTATAAGTGTTTTGAAAACTCATGTTCTGCTTTCACTCCAAGGGAAAACCTGGTTAATGAAAAGAATCTGAAAGTCGTGGAGCCCTGAAGGTATTCCTTCCACGGAAAGCCCATCACAGAGATGCTTTCTGTTGGTCGGTCTCTACTATGCGGTGAAGTCACTTTTAAGTTGCCATAGCAGAGGGACAATCAGGTGTCTGTCTTTGTAAAGTCAGATCCTCTGAAGTGGCAACGCTTCTAGTTTAGCTCAGGGAGTCGGGATCGAATTCAGTTCTGGGTGCCCTTGGGTTGGCCGTTATTCAAGCTAGCTGCTGGAGGAGGCAGGGTTACTGGGACCAATTGCACGCACAGGTATCAGAGGGTCAAATTGTGGAGGCTGGGTGTGGCCCACGGACGTGGCCAGCTTGCAGGAAAGTTCGCTATAGCTTATAGATGGAAGGGAAGCTCACCAGTGCATATGACATAGTCCCTCATGAAGACTAAAAAGTCCTTCTGTTGCGAAGGCATCAGAACGGGAAACAGCCTAGTCCCCGAACCTTCCTCTGAGTGGAGAAATCTGCAGTGAGAACAGTCAGGCTTAGGGACGTTCGTTGCTGATTATTTGCTTGGGAAGTAACGAGGCCCCTAACTGTTTTGCCAAAAGTGAAAGTCTCCACCACAGAAGCCTTTCTGAATTTCCCAACCCCGACGAGAGTTTCTTTAATGGTCTGACTTACCAGAGTGCAGACAAGATCAGGTGGGACAGCAGAAGGCAACCGCAATGGTATGGCTTCCTTGGCGATTCAGTGGACACAGGCCTGGCGCCGAGTGCTTGGAGATGCTCAGTGTGATTTGACTCTCCCATGTTCCGCAGGGTCCAACGACGCCCGGAGCGATTGTAAAGGACAAAGCAGCTCCTTTCAAGTATCTTTAAAGGAAAAAGGCATTAGCTTGAATCATTAGTGTAGGGTCAGTCAAATATGGGCAAACCTGAACTTGCCTATAAATTCCTTATGCCTGGGGGCGCCTGGGTGGCGCAGTCGGTTAAGCGTCCGACTTCAGCCAGGTCACGATCTCGCGGTCCGTGAGTTCGAGCCCCGCGTCGGGCTCTGGGCGGATGGCTCGGAGCCTGGAGCCTTTTCCGATTCTGTGTCTCCCTCTCTCTCTGCCCCTCCCCCGTTCATGCTCTGTCTCTCTCTGTCCCAAAAAAATAAATAAACGTTGAAAAAAAAATTAAAAAATAAATAAATAAATAAATAAATAAAAATAAAAAAAAATAAATAAATTCCTTATGCCTGTAGCTCTTAGGAAAATGGGAACCCCAAACAAATCTACATACGTATGCCCTAATACCAATTCTCCAACACCAGCCGGGTGTCCAGTGATTCGATTCCTTTCTGACACTCTCTGGAGTTAGCAGGCCCCACAGGTTAAGGGGCTCAGACTCAAGACTGCCCCCTCTTCGGGTACCAGCTGCAAGTCTGGCCGTCCAAACTTCTGTGCACTCTAACTACAAATTCAGAGGGTCCCACACTCCCCCTTCAAATTAGTAACTCACCAGGACTCATGGGACTCAGGAAGCACTATACTTAGGATTACTTTTTTTTTTTTTTTTTAATGTTTATTTATTTTTGAGAGAGAGACAGAAAGAGCATGAGCAAGGGAGGAGCAGAGAGAGAGGGAGAATCCCAAGCAGGCTCCACACTAACAGCAGACAGCCCAAGGTGGGGCTTGAAATCACGAGCCATGAGATCATGGCCTGAGCCAATCTGACACTTAACTGGCTGAGCCACCCAGGTGCCCCAGGATTACTGTTTTATCATAAGAATACAATGAATGGCCAGATGCAGAGGCACAGAGTCTGGAAGGGTCCTGAGTGCAGGAGCTTCTGTCCCCATGGAGTCAGGGTGCACCACCCTCCCGATACGTCCGTGTGTTCCCTGACCCCGAATCTCCCCAAGCCTTGCCGTCCAAGAGTTTATACTGGGTTTTATTACGTAGGCATGATTGATGAAATCGTCATCCACTAGTGATTGAACTCCCATCCCCAGCCCTGCCCCCTCCCCAACAGTCAGGGGCCAGTTCCACTCTCTAAACACCAGGTTGGTTTTTCTGGTGACCAGCCCCCTTCCTGGAGCTATCCAGCACCCTCCCTTGGCTCATTAGCATAAACTCAGGTATGGTCCCCCAAAGACACTCCTGTCGCTCAGGAAATTCCAAGGGTTTTTAATGGTCTGCGCCAAGAACCAGGGGCAAAGACCAGATTTTTATTATTATTATTTTATTTTTCTTATTGTTGTTACTATATTTATATTGTTATTATTATTATTAGACAACGATCTTACAAACAAACGAAGACAACCTGGGACCAGTGTTATGGGTACAATACCCATAAAATCTCCCCAAGCACACTCACCACCCCCTAAACAGCCCAGTGTTAACTTCCTCAGACTCAGTGGTGAATACCACTAGCTTAGGGCATCACTCGTATGGGGGGAGTTTAGTCCAGAGATTGAGAGAAATGTCTCCCCTTTGGTCAAGTCCCAAATTAACCTGTTGGTTCTTTTGCTAAGGCCCTGAGGGAAAGCTGTGCCCGTCCATTTGACAAATATTTATTGGGGCCCCACTGTCTGCTGGATTCTCTTGTAGATGCTGGGGAAACAGCAGTGAACAAAACAAATAAAAATAACACTTCCTGACCACGTGGAACTTACACTGCAATAGAGAGACAGAAAAACAAAATTTAAAAAGCTACTTGCAGTCAGAAGGTTGCAATTCTCCCAAAGGAATTTTGACAAGAAGCTTGAGGGGCACTCAGTAGGACAAAGTGGTCTCTGTAGAGCCCTGGTGTGGCCAAAGTCCAGCCTCAGAATAACCCAGTTGTTTTTCTCAGACAAACTCCCCTCTTCCACTTCTTTCTGCCCGTCATGTCTACTGTTCAGTCACAAACTTTCGAGTCCCTTTTGAAGATCTAATTAGCTTTATTGAACGATTTGTGCGTTGAGCAGCATCCCATCTAGCAAGTATAAAGGAGCTCCAAAGGGCTGCAGAAAGAGAAATGCTTTTAAAGGCCGAACGAGGAAGTCAGACCAAAAATAGGATTATTTTCAGGTGAGGTCACCTCCCTTTGAGGGACAAAAGGATCTTATTATGTTAGGTGGATTACCTCATGGTGCTAAGTTGGAAATTCCAGAATGACCAGTGAAGATTACAGTTTGGTGATGTGGGCCAGGCATAAAATGACTCCTTTTGGGGCCTTGAGTTTTCTTTTTAACCGTACTAACAGGTGGCTGTTGAGCCTTTGAGATATGGCCAGTATGAATGAGAAACAGGTTTTTTTTCGATTTTGATGATTTAAATTTAAGTAGTCACATATGGCTGATGGCTACTGTATTGCATGGGGCAGTCATAAAACATCATTATAAACTGGAAGAAATTTCACTTTTAAAAATAAATCTGCCATTTTCATCATTTAAGAGTATGTATGCTTGGATTACTTTCACTCTTTTGTCTGTAACAATAGTTTTTCCCATGTTTGTTGTTCTTTGATACCTTATTCCACTCACCTGTGATAATTTATTGAATTTATTTTGAAATAAAGTCATTTCATTTTTCATCAACAGAGTCATCAGAATCCGCCAAAATAGGAGGAATAATTATTATGTTTTTAATAGCAGCTGTCTTCATAAGCACCATATTAATACTGAAACGGGTTGGTTATATATGCTTAAGAAATGATTTCCCCAAAGTTTTGGTATGTAGTCTTTTTTTTTTTTAATTTCTATCTTTATTTTATAACTTAAGAATTTTTATTATATTCTTAACTATTTTCACAGAAGGAAAAAAAACGTTTTCTAAAAACACTAAGATGCATTATCACTCTGGGTGACTTTTCCATCCCTATAAATATATATTTACATTTGATGCTTTCTGTTTATACTTGGCCCACGTGTTACTTTTAATGGTCACATAGTATCCCATTGTTATTAACGTCCTATTTTTCCCTTAATCATTTGCCAGCTGTAGGCCATCCGAATTGCCTTCTTTTTCCTTTCTTTTCCTTCCTTTTTATTCTTTGGCCTTTGTGAATAATGCGGTATGTTTCATTAACATTTTATAAAGATTTTCTTTCAATTTGGATTACTTCAGTGGAACATACACACAAGGTGGATTTATCTTTTTTTTTTTAATTTTTTTTTTTTATTTTTTTTCCAACGTTTATTTATTTTTGGGACAGAGAGAGACAGAGCATGAACGGGGGAGGGGCAGAGAGAGAGGGAGACACAGAATCGGAAACAGGCTCCAGGCTCCGAGCCATCAGCCCAGAGCCCGATGCGGGGCTCGAACTCCCGGACCGCGAGATCGTGACCTGGCTGAAGTCGGACGCTTAACCGACTGCGCCACCCAGGCGCCCCTCTTCTCATTTTTATAAACAACTGCACACTTAAATATTCCTCCTCAGTTGATAAAATTGTACTATTCTTTTTCTTTGTGTTTTTACTCCTTCGGGTTGGGTTTGAGGGCTGTTTAGGGGGTGCTGAGTGTGCTTGGGGAGATTTTAATTACAATGGGTATTTGAACCCAGCCCTCATTTGGCCCCGCCTTAGACGCCTTAGACGTAGAGGACTCTGTATTGGGTTTCATCCACACTGTGATCCCTGCCTTTCACGTACGGACAGTTTTGATCCTTCTGTGTAAACGTATCTTTCAGTCTTTTATGTTAGCCGTCAGTTGCGGCCTTATCGCTGCCTTAATCCGCCTCTTCCTGTCTGCCAAGTATTTATTCCTTTGGCCTTGAGGTCTTAGACAAATCCTACCCCAATATGTCTCACTGTAGCCTTGAGATATAAAGGTCCTTATTACCACACCTACTCCCTTCTAGATAAATTCTCTGCCTGACTTACCTAAAATGGTTACTAATCCCCCCCGCCAGGTCTCCCTGGGGTTCCTCCCATCCCTAAGGCGCGTCCAAATTATACACCAATTACAAATACGCCTGTTATTGTGTTGACCCCAGGTACTGAGAGGACGTGTTGTTATTGTGTCTTTCTCATACTTCTTCATGAAAAATTGTTGCTCTGTGTTTAAGTAAAAACTCTAGGAATGGCAAAGCAGAACACTCTAGGCCTCGTGTCTTTGTGTGTATATGTGTTTCATCAAGAACAGATGTTAAAGTTTTCTTTTTCTTTTTTTTTTTTTTTAACAAATATTTGCCGAGTACCTACCACATGTTTACATGTTCTAGGTGCTGGGGATATAGAAAAGAACAAAACAAACAAAAACTTCTGCCCTCCTAGATCTTAAAGTGTGAGGACGAAGGGTAGGGACTGTGACAATTTATAGATGATATAACTGGCAAAGTAAAAAATTCACATGAATCTAGAGATAAATGATTAGGATTAATAAGTTTAGTGACGTTGGTACATACAAAATCAATATAAAAAATGCTTGCGTTTTTTTACACTGGCAATAATCAGAAAACAAACATGAAGCTGCTTTTCAACCTCCAAGAAATTAAGTAGGTACACAACTCGTAGTATAAAGCCCTGTAAATTTTCACAAACTCAATGCACCCATGTAATTCATGCCTAAATCAAGAAAGAGAATATAATCAGCCTCTCCAGAAGTCTCTCTCCTGCCACCTTCGAGTAACTAACCCCCACCAAGGATAACCACTATCCTGATTACTAACAGCATAGATTAGTTTTATCTGGTTTGAACTTGAAATCGTACAGTTAAGTGGAATCATATAGTTGATTTTAAATACCATTGCAATAGTAATAAAAAAATATTTTTAAAACATTAAAGAATAAATCTAATAGAGGATGTTACAGGTCGTTTGTGGAGAAAATGGCTTCTTGAGAGACATTAACAAAGATTTGGTCAAATAGGGAGCCCAGAAACAGACCCACACGTATGGAAACATGTTTAATGATGAGTAGATATTGCCATGGGGACAGGATTGGCTGGGTCAATAAGTGTATCTATATGGGAGAAAATGCAATTGGAACTTTACCTCATACCACACACAAATACCAGTTCCAGGTATATTAAAGGTTGTCCTATGAAAGGCACTGTAGGAGATTCTATGTGACCTTGGGGTAAGGAAGATTCTCTCAAACGCAAAAAGCAGACACCATAGAGGCTCGACATCGATACATTTTCTTACGTTAAAACTAAGAATTTCTTGTCATCGAATGTCCTCACAAAGAGAGTAAAATGGTGAACCACGGGCTAGGGGAAAACACGTGACATAAATAATCAGCAAACAATTAGCATCCAGGTGATCTGAAGCGCCCCTAGGAATCCTGTGGGAAAAAAGACGAACAACCCAACAGAAAAATTGTCCCTACGCCTGGCTTGGGTAGAGTAGGGGAAGAGCAGGTTTGCCCAAGTGGGCAGCCCAAGTAGGCCTTAGGAAAATAGGAAGATGGTGCTGATGACGATTCCAGGTCTCTGAAAGGAGTCTCCTGACCACCTCCTCGTTCGCCCCACCGTAGTTAACCTAGAGACAGACCCACCGACGGGGCAAGACTCAGCCTTGTTCTCCTGTGTTCTCCACAGCTCCCTGCTCGGCTGGTGTCCTGGTGGTGCTTTCTTCCGAGAGCTGGAATAGAGTGAGCTCCAGTCTTGCCATTCCTCTAACCCTCCCAACTCTTTTAGGATTCCCCTCTTCATCCTGAAGATCCTCCAGTCCAGGGGGCTGTGACCCGGATACAATGGGCTCTCCAGAGTCTCTCCTCACCCACGGTTCCCTGACACGCCCTAGGAGAATCTCAGTGGACAGATTTAGATGGCAATCCAGAATCTAAGTGGCCGGAGTCCCCTGAGCAGCAGGAAGCGGTGAGGGGAGCCCCGCGGGAAGGAGTGGAGGCCAGAACATAGCCTCTGCCGCAGGCAGCCTCCGCCGCTCAGTGTTCGTGCCCCCTGGGCACGTTTCTTAACCTCTCTGCCTCATTTTTGTCATCTGTGAAATGGGGATAAGAATAGTAAGCCTGCTTCATGGCAGGGCCGTGAGGGTAAAACGAATGATGACACGAGTGAGGCACAGAGACCAGGGCCCGGCAGGTAGGAAACACTGTGTAACCGTTAGCTGTTGTTGTTGTTGTTGCCGCCGTTGGCCTCACTGTCCTCATCCTCATCACTGAACAGTTCATCTCACTGAGTTTTATTATGTCAAAAAATAAAGAGCAAACACTCAGAATTGATTCTCTCTCTCTCTCTTTTGTTTTTAAGAATTTTAATAACTTGTCATCCTGGGTCTTTCTCGAGAGGCCACCCTTGGAAACAGTGGCTTTCGTGGAGGTGATTCACGTTAACAGGAAGAAGAAAGTGTGGGATTATAATTATGACGATGAGAGCGACAGCAATGATGAGGTGGCCCCTCCAATAAGCAGAGGTGGTTATACTATGCACGGGCTAACGGGCAGGCTTCTGGGTCCGGCCTCCGCCTCCTCGGCCACCTTGGAAGACTGCAACCAGCCGGATGCTGAGGCACCGGATCAATCCGAACCTGAGGCTGACACCGAGCCCCTGATGGCAGCATGGCCCAGCCCCGGGCAGTCGGAATGCTGCAAGAGTGGGGCCTACAAGGAGAGAGGGAGGCTGCCACAGGACCCCGTCTCCGAGGATGATGACAGCGCCACCGATGAGTCTGGGGACAAAATTACCTTCAATGTAAATTTAAACTCTGTGTTTGTGAGGATCCCCGATGACGACTCAGAAGTACCCCCGACGTCACCATCTTTTCTAGAAGAGACAGTCAACCTAGAGGATTCAGATGAAACAGAAATAAGCTTTCTGGCAGCCAGTGGGGAAGGAACACAGCCACCCTTCGCCAGCCCCTCTGCAGAGTGCCCGTGGCCTGAAGACGCTCTTTCTGACAAAAGTGACAGTTCCGAGTCAGATGCGGACATCGGGGATGGTTATATAATGAGATGATTCCCAAGGATAGTTAATTAACAAGGACCGATGAGGTTCTCCCTCCGCGTACGGTCACCAGCCCCTCCGGGGCCTGCCAGCGATGTCGGAGGGAAGGTGCTGGAGACTGCAGTCTGCTGGGTGATTCCTGGTGACGTCATCTATGCAGATTCCCAGGACGGCCGCATGGGACCCTCCTATCCTGCAGTGTATTGTTTACATGTCCCAAGGGATGCACTTTGAAGGGAAAGTGTCCTGTCCATTTCCTTCCCCGCATTTATAATGGTTCTGCATCCTGTCTCCCAGAGTAAGGAGCAGGGTCCCCCGCATCTTTCCTGGGTGGTCCAAGACCCTGCAAGTTCATGAAATTAGCCAGGGTGGGAGTGGAGAGTGAAAAGGAAGACACTCAGCAGGGTTCCTAGCAGGTACAGTCAGCAGTGGTGGGTCCAGCAGGCTTAAGGAAGGGGCCAGGAGGGAAAAAGCAGGAAGGGAAGGCCACCAGAAGGAAAGAAAGGGGACCCACAAAGAAACAGAAGCACAGGTTCCGAGTTGGAAGTGGGGAAAGTGGAGCCCAGTCTTGGGCTCCTCCCTGATGTCACATTCTGTCACCTACACTCAGAATTCAGCTCTCCTCAATTTGAATGAGGAGGACACATTCGCACACAGAAATAACTCTAGTGTCAGGCAGGTGACTACTAGGAAATATCTGCCTGAGGGAGAGGGATAGAATCTCAGTGCCATATTTTAAGATTAAAAAAAAAAAAGCGAGAGAACAAATGCAAAATCGTTTCAAGGTCTTCAGAGGAAATAAGGTATGAAATAAAATTCCTGGAGGTCCTACTTAGCAATTTAAGAAGAGCTGTGTGCACGGATTCCAACTGTCCTATGTGTGACCACAGTTCCTGTGGAAGGAGGTGGGGGGGGGGGCAGGGGAAGAGAAGTTCTAGAACATCATGTAGCAAACAGTACAAGAACTAGGACTCAGAGGTCTGACTCTGCTATTTCACTGTGTGACCCCAGGTACTTTGCTGACCCTCTCTGAGCCTCAGTTTCTTCATTTAGGAAATAAGGGGATTGGACTAGGTAATCTCCAAGATCCTGTGGTGCTAGGAGAAATAGTAGAAAATACACAAGAATTGGGGCACCTGGGGTGGCTCAGT